GGTTAGGAGGAAGAGGAGGAGGAGGAGGAGGAGGAGGAGGAGGAGGAGGAGGACGAGGAGGAGGAAGAGGAGGGGGAGGAGGAAGAGGAGGGGGAGGAGGAGGATGAGGAAGAGGAAAGCGAACAGGAAACGAGGAACGCTGTTTTCTCGTCTTCTACAATGGGTTTGCGAACATCACCTTCGTGTACTATTGGCTCTATAGCCCATGTATTGTTTTCTTACGAGCGGATGGCAGAATTGTACGTTTCCGAACCCCTTCTTCGTGTACTATTAGAATCACTGGGTTTCCGAACTTCGATCTTCGTGTACTATTAGGTATATAGCACCTGCATTGTTTTCCTAATTAGCGAATGGCGAAATTACGGGTTTTCGAACTTCTGCTTCGTGTTTGATTAAAATGCGATTACTCTATGTTATTCTAGTTGATTTGATACGACTGTGTAGAACCCGAACCCGAATCCGAACCCGAACCCGAACCCTTACCCTTACCCATTCATTCTTAGTAGACGCGACGGGGAAGTTTGACCCTAGTAGTAGTAGTAGTAGTAGTAGTAGTAGTAGTAGTAGTAGTAGTAGTAGTAGTAGTAGTAGTAGTAGTAGGTAGTAGGTAGTAGTAGTACTTGTCGTACTGGTGGCACGAGTAGTAGAATCACCCATACTACGGCGAGTACTTAACGTACTAGTACTGCTGGTAGCACTAGTAGTACTAGTAGTACTAGTAGTACTAGTAGTACCAGTAGTATGAATAGCGATAGTCGTAGTAGCAGTGGTAGTAAGAGAACTACTACGACTAGTAGTACTAATGGTGCGAAATGTTCCTATCAGTAGTGGTTGTAGTGGTAGCGGTAGCATAGTAGTATTACGTAGTGAGTCGCTACTATGAATACTAAGCAGTTAGGTTTGCAAGTGTTCCTGATAATACCAAGTCGTACTCGCAATCATAGTAATACATATACTACGAGTCGTTCTGGCGGCCCTAATAATAGTAGTAGTAGTAGCCGTCGTCATACTAGCAGTCGCGGTAGTAGTAGTAGTAGTAGTAGTAGTAATAGTAGTAGTAGTAGTAGTAGTCGTTCTGGTAATACTAGTAGTTATTGCACTACTATTAATGGTAGTGACACTAATAGTAGTCGTGGTAGTGCAATCGTAGAAGTACTGGTAGTGCTAATGATACTACCAGTACTAGTAGTACTAGTAGTAGTAGTAGTAGTAGTAGTAGTAGTAGTAAGAATAGGAGTCGTAGCCGTATAAGTAGTGATAGTCTTACTGGTAGTAATAGTAACGATGGCAATGGTAATAGTAGAAATAATAGATGTTGTAGTAGTAGCGGTAACAATAATGAGTCGTAGTACTCGAAGTAGTAGTAAGTGGTAGTAGTAGTAGTAGTAGTAGTAGTAGTAGTAGTAGTAGTAGTTGTAGTTGTAGTAGTAGCAGTAGTAGTAGTAGTCGTAGTAGCAGTAGTAGTAGTAGAAGTAGTAGTAATAATACTAGTAGTAGCTGTAATAGCAGTCGTAATCGTCGTAGTAGTAGTAGTAGTCGTAGTCGTTGTCGTAGTGGGAGTAGTGGTAGTAGTAGTAGTAGTAATAATATAACTAGTAGTAGTAGTAGTAGTAGTAGTAGTAGTAGTAGTAGTAGTGGTAGTAGTAGTAATAGTAGTCGTAGTAGTCGTAGTAGTAGTAGTAGTGGTAGTAGTAGTAGTAGTAGTAGTAATAGTAGTAGTAGTAGTAGTAGTATTAGTGTTATTATTATTATGATTAGTAGTAGTAGTAGTAGTAGTAGTAGTAGTAGTAGTAGTAGTAGTAGTAGTAGTGTAAGTAGTAGTAATAGTAATGGTAGCGCTCGTAGTCCTAATGCTAGTAAGAGTCGTCGTCGTACTAGTAGTAGTAGTAGTAGTAGTAGTAGTAGTAGTAGTAGTAGTAGTAATAGAAATAATTTTAATAATAATAGTAGTAGTAGTAGTAGTAGTAGTCGTAGTCGTAGTCGTAGTAGTAGTCCTAGTAGTGGTAGTATTATTATTCAAATACAAATACTCGTAAGCAAACAACTCACCCTGGACGGGGCGTAGCCCACCCCCAAAGGGGGGCCGAAGGTCGTTCGGGAGGGGGGGGGACTGGGTTGCTGGTTGCTGGGGGGGGCTCAGCAACAACAACAGCAACAGCGCTCCCGCGTGATACGTTCTCACAATGTTCTCCGAGAGGCCCTGGCACGAGAGGGGCCGACCCTCAGTAAGTGCGCGTTCCATCGGGACTCCCCTGCAATTTGGCATCAAAGAGAGGTCCTTGAGAGCAGTCTTGCAGCCACTTGCGGATGCCGGAACGCCCCCGCCCGAGCCTCCCTCACAATTTAGAATCACAAGGGAATCCTTCAGAATCAGGTTCCTGCCAAAAGCGGACGCCGGAGCGGTTTGTTCGCCTAAGGTTTTTTTGCAGTTCAGCACCACAAGGGAGTCCGTCAAAACATTATCGCTGCTACTCTACTCGCGGATGCTAGAACAGCCGTTCCTCGGAATTCAGCAGCCGCGGAAATTCGTCAAAGAAGTCTTGCCGCTACTTGCGGAGGCCCCACGACGCTCCAGGTATGTGCGATCGGAGGCGTTTTTCGGCCCTCCCGCCCCCAGGCCCCAGGTCCCGATTTGCTGTTTTTGGATAGATGCTCGGGCAGCGCTTTGCGGCCTCCGCTCCCAGGAAGCCCCAGGACACACTTGTCTGTATTGGGATGTTCGGGGGGCGCTCTTCGGCCCCCTCGGTCCAGGGTCAGGAGGCTTCAGGAGACACGCTTCCGCGTTGGACGGTGTGTTCGGGGAGTGCTCGTCGGCCCCCCATCTAGCCTGCACCCCGATAGGCTTCGCCACCCCTCTCCTGGGAGCTCGAAATCCTTGTGCTCTGCGTCTGTTGCTATTTTTTCTTTTCTCTGGGGCTCCAATACGATGGCCCCTGTCCTGTGACTCGAACCATATTTTCCTATAGGTTGCCCCCCCTGGGGTTCGAACCCGTCATGTTTTACACGTGCTCCTATAAATGTCCCCCCCACCTGGGTTGTAACCCTTCGTGTTTCGAATCCCCACCGCTTCCTAAAATCCCGTTCAAGTGGGAATGTGCGTCGGGAGATGTGGGAATATCGGCCCCCCTTTCCGCAGTTCCCCCCCCGACGGGGTGGCATCATGATGGACGCACGTGGCATGTAGAAGCATGGCGCGAATCACGGTGTCGCTGTGGTCTTTCTCACGATTTACTTCAGAATCGCGTTACCGTTAAAAACTGCCTCACGATTCATGTTGGATTGACACTTCAGCGGTTCGCCCGATCGACTTGGCCAACTGGGCCCGCCCGCCCGACCTGCCTGTTAGGGTCCGCCCGCCCAGCCGCCCGTCTGGTTTTGCAATTTGCACTCCTGCTCTTACCCCCTTTCCTGCACCCGCTCTCCCGCTGTCGATCGCGACCGCGCCGCCTTGTAAGCCGCCCTGGCCTCGCACTCGTCCTCCTCGTCCTCGTCCTCCTCTTCCGCCTCCTCCTCCTCCTCTTCCTCCTCCTCGTCGAACACGTCGCTCCCGCGTCGCGCTCGTCAAACGATGGTGTCCCCGTCCTTCAACACAAACAGAGCCCAATGAAAGGCAGTTCCCGACCGGGACACGTCCGCCAAGAGTCAAACACATGCACACGTCCGAACGATGCCCATGGGATCTCTTGGACCCGGCAGGTTGGGCATTTGTATCGGTGCCCCAACCTTCCCTGACATTCGGAGCGTTCCGGCACACTGTGGGTCGAACTATCCCAACAGAAGGCTAAACGAACCCCGTGCCTCTGCTCCTCCTCTGGATCTCCTCCTGGTCCGCGGACGGGAGTCCTGCCAGCTTGCGGTAAACAAAAATTAGCTAGGCGCGTGGTCGGACAAACGGTACGGGGGAGGTTTCTTAAAAGGTGGTTGCTTCGTAAAGGCGCGGGTCTTACATCAACAGTGAAGCCCGCGCCTTTCGGGAAACAAAAGTGTTTCTGAGAAGCCTTCCCCCTTCCCCATACCCCCCTTCTGCGCGTGGCTGAGACAACAAACCAGGCGACTAATGGCACAAACGGTTTTTTATTTGGGCGAATGGTGGGGGGGGCGCCCGCCAAATCGAAACACAGTGCGACGGCATCGGTGATTAGCGCCGACACCCGGCCGACAGGTGGAGGGCGACAAGCGCGACGCAACCTGCGCCCGATCAGCGGGAGGGACAGCAACGCCTTCGCTACAGTGGGGCGGTTGGGCCAAAATGGCTACAACCATGAAACAAAAAGGAGGCGGGAAGAAGAGGCGCCTCAGCGGGAGGCCGGTGCCGACATGGCTACGAATGGGGCGTGGGCGAGGGGGGGGGACGGCAAGAGCAAACGGCAAGGGTTTGTCCTTTTCCTTCCGCCGACAATCTCCCCCCTCCTCTACAATATGCCATGTGGCCCACCACCACGACAACGACGACAACGACGACGACGACGACGACGGCGGCGACGGCGGCGGCGAGGGCGGACGACGACCCGCGGATGAGCCATGGGGGGGGGGCTGCGCAGGCCCGCTCTAAGTCGCCGACGACGACGAGGACAACGACGAGGATGAGGACAAAGACTTGGAAGGATGACGCAATGCGGATGCCTCATAAGGGGGGGCTGTGGAAATCCGCTGTAGTTAGTCGACGACGGCGACGACGCCGACAGCGAAAGTAACCAGACGGTGGCGTGACGACGGATGACGACGCACTGCGGATGTCCGATGGATGGAGGAGGCTGCGTAGGCCCGCCGTGAAACAACGACAACGACGACGACGCCGTCGCCTTCGCCGACGACAACGACGGACGAGGAGGACGATGACGACGACGTCGATAACGACGGCCACGACGTCGACGAACACCACCACGACGACGACGACGACGACGACGACGACGACGACGACGACGGCGGCGGCGACGACGACGAGCACGACGACGATTGTGACGCGTTAGTGAACAGCAAGGGAAAGGGGGAAAACTCCGCCTCGAATGAATACGATCCCTAACACAACTGCTCTATAACAGGCAGTGGCCTTGAGGCTGCCACTCAGAGGGGGACACTCTCCACTCGGCGGCGCCCGCGACAATCCCCTGGCGCACGTGATCAATCGTTTCGCGCCCCGCGGGGTCTATACATCAGCCTTGGGAGGGGGGTCATGATTTACCAATCACAAGCTGGCGTGAGCTTGTAATTCAATGTTTTGCCCGCAGTCCTTCTTCGCCTGCCATTCGACGGCACTCCAAGCAGCAAAAGCTGTAGCGAACTCGTCTACGGTGGTGTGGCCATCGGCGTTCATATCGTGGTACGCCAGCGACTCTGTGGACAACAGTTTGGCATCCTTGCCACGAACTCTTGAGGATGAGAATCTCGGTAAAACCTCGGCAGAGCTTCCGAAATCCAAAGCCAAAGGCTTGATATATGAACACAGTTCGAATTCTAAAGTCACTGATGTCTGACGCTTGGGCGGTCTATGCACAGGGTAGAACCTACTCAACTGGTGGCACTCGTGGCGCGACAGATAAAGGGTCACGTAGGAAACGCGTCAAGGCCCCCCGGTATCCTTACTTTTTTCGGGACCATCATGTCGGGTCGTGTTCTGGCGGCCCTTGGATTAGGTCGGGCATGTTCCCCTACAGGCGGATTTTGGGCGAAAAAAATCACCAACCTTTGAAACATGTTCAAACATAGGCAGAAATATAGACTATTTCTGACTATTCTTGCATCTTTTTGAATCTTTTTGAAAATGTTTGACTACTTTGAGCATTCCTCCTGGGGCCTGTGGTGAGATCAAGGGGCCTCGGGGCCTCCAGATCCACCTCCGACGCCTCAGGATGCCGAGGATGCTCCCCAGCATGGCTCGAGGAGGGCTCCGACAGAGGGCAGAAAATCCACCCACACATTTGGACGCCCGAAATGGGCACGGAAAGAATGGGTGCAATGCCCAACGACAAATGTCGTCCCAAACCAACAGCGGCCGCTGTTGGGCAGGCGGCCTTCCGTCTGAAACGGTTACAGGCCGCGGCGACACCGACAGCGAGTCCTGTTCAAAATGAGGAAGAACTGCTGCTGGGCATTGTACCCATCCTTTTCGTACGTACCCATGTCGGGCGTCCAAAACAGAAGGCAGAAAATCCACCCACACAGTGGTCACCCCGACACGCGACGCCGGTCAGCACACGCACCCACAGCAGGAACCCGGACAGGGCAGGGTGCCGCACCGCCTACGAGACGCAAACCGTCGGGTCTGGGCGGCCTCTCTCCCTTGCTCCAGCGCGCCGGTGAAGCCTCGAGGACATCCAAGACTGCCTCAGGTTATGCTGTTAGGGGGCAAACAAACCTACCTCGCTTTTGACCACCCTCGCTTCCTAGAGATACCAAGCGATGCCAAACTACGGTCTGTACTGGTCAGGCCGCTTGACGAGGAGGCGCGTGGTATGACTTGGTTTTGCCTGGAAGCGAAAGCGGGGTAGGTAATTCACGCTCTGATTAAGGACCGCATCCCAGAAATAATTTCGAGCACCCGGAAAAGTGCCAAAAGAGTGCCGAGAGAGTGCCGAAACAGTGTCGGGCGAGTGTTTCCTAGGGCCCGACACGTGAAAACCCTTGAGTTTCGGCACTTGTTTGGCGCTCGAACTTCTTTCTGGTGATCAAGGCTCAAGTAGGTTGGAGCATCATAAGCCTCAGGACGGCATGTGACCACAGAGACCCGACCCACAAGACTGCCTCAAGAACACATGTTTGAATGAATGTCGCAGCAATGTCGGAGTTGTTCATCTCGAGCCACTTCTTGTGCGGCCTTGGGGCCCTTGCGAGGACATCCGAGGGCCGATCAAACAAAACACTTTCCCCGAGGTTATTCTTGTGCCGGCCCAAGAAAGTATATTAGGAGGCGAGTGAACTCAGAATTTGACCTCCCAGGAGTTGCATCCGAAAAAAATAAGATCCTGTTCTTTTTCATATTCCAGCAAGTTTACGTGCATGGGCGAAGAGGGGGGCTGAACCTGAAGCAAGCCGCAAACGACTTGCACGTGCGGAGATCACGCAGGTCGAGAGGCACGTTCGAAGAGGGGCGATCGGGGGGGGGGGGGGCGGGGGGCGAACGCCATGCGGGTAAACCTGCCTGAGTTGAAAAACAGGCTCCATGGGATCGAAGGGGATCGACGAGGACGGAAGCCGGCTCCTTCTCGGGGGGGAGGAGAGCTCGCCCGCCGCTTCGGCGAGGCGCCTCCTTCAACGACAACTCGCTGTCGCCATCCGCGTCGAGCTGCCGGCCGAGCTTCGAAGCGTACACTTCCGCCGCGCCGAACTCGAGGGGCTTGAAGGTCCGGTCGTTGAGCGTGGCCCAGACCTCGCTTGGATGTGCTTGGATCGGCACGGGGGCGGCTAAAGTAACAGGGGGGGCTATCAGGCGGATGCCAATGTGGCGTGTCTTCATGACCTGGCCTGCAAGTGGGTTGCAGGTTCCCCGAGCGGCTTTGGGTGGTGGAGATCTGGACCAGGTGGGTTCCGCCCACTTTTAGCGGAATAGTATGAGGCCCCTGTGCTGCGAATGTAACCTGAAATCTGTGGCAAGCTGGGTCAGTCCAGGTACAACCCACCTTGGTACCCTCTGATGACCACCCAATCCCCTGAACATCCCCCGAGCCGTTCCGAGTAGGAGGGCGGTTATCACCGCTCCCGTCTGTCCCTGTACGTGGACCATCCTGTTTAAGGAATGCTCGGGTCGGGCGAAAGGGGGAGATAGCAAAGGGGGGGTTTGAGAACCAGCTCACGTAGCTGATTTTCCCGGCGCCTCCCGGCGCCGGAGGCGGCTATGTATCGAGGACTGGGCCCCTCGGTGAGGCCGAAACCAGCTGCATGCAGCAAATTTCGTACCCCCCCTTTCCCAATCCCTCCCTTTCGCCCGGCCCGAAATGCCGTAATCCAGTCGAAGGGAAGCCCCTTCCATTTGGTCCCTGCCCAGCCCGGGGTCGGGGGTGGGGGGGTACAGGGCGGGGGGGGCGGGATTGCGACCCGGGGGAGCAACCCTCCGCTGGCCATCGCTCGGACGTCCATTTCCTGTGTTTTTTTTCGGTTGCGTGGTTTTTTCGAGAGATGATCAAGGATGCTCCTCGATGGTCCTCGCCGAAAGAAAAATGCACACGTCCGAGCGATGCCAGGTCCTGGGAGAAGCTTTCACCTTCGATTCCTCGCCTCCCAGACGCCTCGGAGTCCCACTTCAGGGTCGGCGGCACCGGCCAGAAGACCTTCACAACAGGATGACGGTGAAGAACAAAGACTCGGGGGAAACGACTGTGCCGATGCTTTTCTTGACTCTGGGATACGTCCTGGAGAGCACGCTCACAATAATCTCAAGGACGACGGCACCAACGAGCAAGTCCTGAAGCAAATTTGCGTATCGTCGCCCAAAACACTGCCTCACGACACGGGAATATCATAACCCGTACCTTGAGCAGGGGCCGACCGTCCCGGCATTTCTATACGACTACCATGAGATGTTCTTAGAACCCAGAAGCAGAAGTGTTCTATAACACAAACACTGTTCTGAGAACGTAGACACGAAGCGTAAAATTAGCCTGGCGAGGGACCCAACCATATGCAGTTGTGAGTACCGCAGTTGTGAATATAGTCCTCGGTGGAGCTCCTTATGGGGCCACGAACTGTGTGAGGGGCCTGCCACAGTGGTGGTGGTAGGGAACCGCATGCGGGCACCCCCACTGGAGCCTTCGGTGGAGCACCCTATCCGGCCACGAAGCGCTGCGCTGGGTGGGGGAACCGCATGCGGGCACCCCCACTGGGGCCTACGGTGGAGCTCCCTATGGGGCTACGAAACGCTGCACTGGGCGGGGGAACGGGCAACCCCACTGGGCCTTCGGTGGAGCTCCTTAGGGGGCCACGAAGCGCTGCTCTGGGTGGGGGAACCGCATGCGGGCACCCCCATTGCAGCCGCCTGCGGTGGAGCTCCCTGTGGGGCCACGAAGCGCTGCACTGCTGGGGGAACCGCATGCGGGCACCCCCACTGGGGCCTTCGGTGGAGCTCCCATGGGGCTACGAAACGCTGCGCTGGGTTGGGGAAGCGCATGTGGGCACCCCCACTGGGGCCTCCGGTGGAGCTCCCTGTGGGGCCCAGAAACGTTGCCCTGGATGGGGGAACCGCATGCGGGCATCCCCACTGGGGCCTCCGGTGGAGCTCCCTGTGGGGCCACGAGACGTTGCCCTGAGTGGGGGAACCGCATGCGGGCACCACCACTGGGGTCTTCGGTGGAGCTCCCTGTGGGGCCACGAAACGCTGCCTTGGGTGGGGAAACCGCATGCGGGCACCCCCACTATGGCCTGCGGTGGAGCTCCCTGTGGGGCCGCGAAACGCTGCCTTGGGTGGGGAAACCGCATGCGGGCACCCCCACTATGGCCTGCGGTGGAGCTCCCTGTGGGGCCGCGAAACGCTGCCCTGGGCGGGGGAACCGCATGCGGGCACCCCCACTGGGGCCTACGGTAGAGCTCCTTATGGGGCCACGAAGCGCTGCCCTGGGTGGGGGAACCGCATGCGGGCGCCCCCATCGGGGCCTACGGTGGAGCTCCCTATGGGGCTACGAAACGCTGCCCTGGGTGGGGGAACCGCATGCGGGCACCCCCACTGGGGCCTACGGTGGAGCTGCTTGTTGCCACGAAGCGCTGCCCTGGGTGGGGGAACCGCATGCGGGCACTGGGGCCTTCGGTGGAGCTCCCTATGGGGCCACGAAACGCTGCCCTGGGTGGGGGAACCGCATGCGGGCACCCCCACTGTGGCCTTCGGTGGAGCTCCCTATGTGGCTACGAAACGAAGCAAGGAGGGGGAGAAAGGAGGAGGGGGAGGGGGAGGAGGGGGGAGGGGGAGGAGGAGGAGGAGGGAGGAAGGAGGTGGGACGCGGGGCGCTGTCTCTTCCAAACGAGGACCCAACGCCACAGGATTGTTGGGAAAAACAGGGTCGGTCAGACATGTTCTGAGAACATTTCGTGCACACCACAGACAGGCCCTTGGAACATCCTTCGGCAGGCCTGTGGGCGAGCCAGGACGCCTCGCCACTGCTTGACTGAACCAAATCTGCGAATCGTCGCCCGGGGCACTGCCTCACGACACGGGGATCTCGCCACGCGCACCCCACGTCACGAGAGAATGGCGCCTGCGCACCTGCGTCCTCTGGCGCCCCCCTTCGGGCCCAAGATCCGACGCGGAGCCTCGCACAGTGTGATACTCGGCTCCGAGGGCAGACAGACGATGCACTCTGCATTACTCTTCCCACCAATCGAGGGCCGACGACGTCTGGAGACCTCCGGGCGATAGGGTCTGGCGGTGCGCAAAAGGCGGAAAGGGGGAGGGGTGCAGGCTTCTTAGACGCACCCGTGCTTCTCAGAAGGCCTCGGCCCTACATCTACAGAGAAGGCCGGGGCCTTCTGAGAAGCAGGGGTGCTTCTGAGAAGCCTTCCCCCCTCCCCTACCCTTAGGTCATGCGTGTCCCCGTACAGGCAGATTTTGTACGAAAAATGAAAAATACCCAACACATGCTCCTACAGTGCTCCAGAGTAGTCAAAAACTCGTCCCCAGACTGTTTTTTTTCCCCCCTAATATTCGTCCTGTAGAAGGACAGGCCCGCCTTAAGCCTGTCCCCCTCTGCGCGTGGCCGAAGCGGGCACACATGCTGCCCGCGGGCGATCGGCAACCATCTTGGACGCCCGAAATGGGCACGGAAAGAATGGGTACAATGCCCAACAACAAGTGCTGTCCCAAAAACAAAACAGCGGCCGCTTTTGGGCAGGCGGCCTTCTGTCTCGAATGGACGCAGGCCGCGGCGACACCGACAGCGAGTCCTGCTCAAAATGAGCAGGAACTGCTGTTGGTCTTTGTACCTGTTCTTTCCGTACTCATTTCGTTCGTGCCGGACCATCGCGCGCTCGGCTGCAACCTCGGGCCGGCGCGGCCCCGCCGTCTGCCACGCAGGCCTTCGCAAACCCGGGTCGGCCAATATGCGCGGCCGCCTCGCGGCCACGAGCGCCTCGCTGACCCCGGTCAGCCAGAGGGGGTCTTCGCAGGATCCTGCAGGATCCAGTGCCCTAGCTGACCCCTGTCTGCATTGACCCTTCAGTCGAGCCTCTCCCCCTACAGATTTTCGACGATTTTATCTAAAAAATAATATAAAAAAAAATCCAAAAATAGTCCGGGGACTATTTTGTTTAGTATTTTGTTGACCTTTTTGGACTATTCTTGGAATCATTCTAACTTTTCGTCGAGAATCCCCCTGTAGGGGGGACACGCCCGATATATCGTCTGCGTTGACCCCCATCTCGAGGCTCCCGTCTCGAGGCTCCCGCGCGCTCGGTTGCCACCGCGGGCCGGCGCGGCCCCGGCGTCCCAGGGCCGGCCGCGGCGCCCCCGCTGCGAGTGGCCGGGCAAAGGGGGCGTGGCCGAGGCCGCCCACGGCGCGCGGGCGAGCGCACGCCAGGGCCGGCCAGAAGCCTGGACGAGCGCGTTCAGGGAGCCGCACGCGAGCCCTACCCCTACCCCCGACGATTTCGGAGGGGGAGGGTGGGGCTCACTCCGCTCGGGAGCCCCACCCTCCCCCTCAGAAGTCGTGGGGGGTAGGGGCAGGGTTCGCATGTGGCCCCCGAGCGCTCCACGGCTCGCAGAGCAGCTACTCGCAAGTGGCCTGCATCCGCCATGGTGGATCCACGACGAGCTGCAGCAGAGCTGACAGACGTGTTTGCGGGACGCCTGCGAGCAGGAACTCTGCGAGTACACGTCGGTGGAAAGAGGTAGGTAAAAACACAAAGTAGGAATGCGGACAACGTGGATTGAGTCCAGGCCCTCCCAGAAAACAACAAAACACAGCAAACTCATGTCGATTCTTGGAGTAGGAAGGCGCTTGAAAAAGATTAGGATCTGGGAATCCAGAAATACCTACTGTCAACGACCGGCGAGCAGTGGAGCGCGCTCAGCGAAAACCGACGGCGAGGCCGAAACCGACCTGAAGGTGGTGGGCCAATTTCAAATCATAATAATTGAGGTTCAGGTGCAGTTTTCCATCTTTGCGATGCCTCGCACACCACATATACCAGTGCTCATCGCAATTGGACGAAGCGCCCCTTCGCCGAGAATGCGCTTGTGAATACTTTATGCATTCCGCGGCAGCCATGCGGATAGCATGCTGCACGGAAGGGGCATCATCTGGAGATAGCTCCCCTGGATCTCGCGCCTTGGGGGAAAAGGTCGCGCGGCGCATCCTCGCACAAGATGTCGGACAGGTCCAAGCAGGAACCTTTGCCCGAAATTCTTGAGCATACACAGCGACATGCGGATGGCTGGGTAACATCGTC